TGAGAGTACTCGAAGGGAGGAGAGGCGTAGGGTAATATTTGTGAGGTTGCAACGCAAATATTTTGAATATCTCAGCAAGTACCAAGAGTTTCGCAGGCAGTTTGGTGAAGGGGTCAATTTGCAGACCCTTCGCGATGAATTGAAGGAGAAAGATGACGAGTTAGTAAGAGTCATCGAGAAGTGCAGTGTCCTTGAGGGGACGTTGCGAAGTAAGGAGGAGGAGCTTGAAATCAGCAAGGGCGTGGAGGCCCAGTGTAGCGATCTTCAAGCGTAAGTAGTCGAGCTGCATAGGCAATTGGAAGATTGTCATCTTCAGTTGCAGGGCCTTATGGGTGAAGTTGCTGAGAAACAAAGCGAGCTCGAGAAGGCGGAATCTCTTTGTGTGGATCCTAGATGAGATTGGAGGTGCTTGAGCTACTGAACAACACCCTTCGGGCTGAGGGGGAAAATGACCGGTCCGCGGCGAAAGCTATAGAGGAGCGACTAGAGGGGAGGGTCGCAAAGCTGGAGAGAGATAACGCCTCCCTTCGTGGTCAATTGGTAGCATTGGAAGTTGATAAGGCTCAACTGCTTGCACATACCTCTTCTTCCCATACTTCGGAATTTCCCAACGTTCCTGGGGCATCGTATGAGGAATGGATTCACGCTGAAGCTCAATTGGATGTATATCAAGATTTGTATAAGGCAGGATCCGTTACTGAGGTCACTCTCGAGGAAGTCTGCGTTAAAGCCCATGAATCTTGAGTTGTTTACGGGTATGAGCCTGCTACTCCTGAGGATGATGAAGAGGGAGATGATGGAATCGTGGACCATCTTAAAGAGGATGCTTGGTATGATACGGTGTGGGCGGTGTAAGTGGGGGTAATCAAGGTGGTGAGGATGTCGGTAGTCAGGACGATGGAGGTGCGGAAGGCCCTGATGGTGGTGACTAGTAGTTTTTCTCTTATTCTCTTTTTTGTTAACTTTTGTCGTGTTGTTGGTGGCTTCTTCATGAGCCTTTGTAAAGAATGTTTCAAGTATGAAATGCCAACTTCGTTTTTTGTATCTTCTTCTCCTCCTGTGGTTTGTTTTTGTGTTTGTGTATTTTTTAGTTCTGTTGGTTGATCGACCCCGTTTCTCTTATTGGACGTGATCACTCAATGGCGAGTTGCGGTCAAAAGTTGATAGGTGCTTATTCGAGCGAGATCGAACATGGTCTTTTGTCAAGACTGCGGCCGAGGGCCGGTACATGCTAGTTCGAGCTAGGTCGTCTATAGCTTGAATTTAGTTTGGTCGAGGGCCAGTAGGTGTTAGTTCGAACAAGGTTGAACATAACCTATATTATGGTCGAGGTCCAGTAGGTGTTAATTCGAATGAGCTCGAATATGACCTATATTATGGCCGAGGGCCAGTAGGTATTAATTTGAACGGGGTCGAATGTAACCTATGTTTAATTATAATTGAGGGCCAGTAGGTGTTAATTCGAACGAGGTTGAACATGACTTATATTATGATCGAGGCCAATAAGTGTTAATTCTAACAAGGTCGAACATAACCTATGTTTAATTATGGCTGAGGGCCAGTAGGTGTTAGTTCGAACAAGGTTGAACATAACCTATATTATGGTCGAGGGCCAGTAGGTGTTAATTCAAATGAGGTCGAATATGACCTATATTATGGTCGAGGGCCAGTAGGTGTTAATTCGAACAAGGTCGAACATAACCTACGTTTAAATATGGCCGAGGGCCAGTAGGTGTTAATTCGAACAAGGTCGAACATAACCTACGTTTAAATATGGCCGAGGGCCAGTAGGTGTTAATTCGAACGAGGTCGAACATAACCTACATTTAATTGTGGCCGAGGGCCAGTATGTGTTAATTCAAATAAGGTCAAACATAACCTACATATAATTATGGCTGAGGGCCAGTAGGCGTTAATTCAAACAAGGTCGAACATGACCTACATTTTAGAAAGATGTGCTGATAATCGTGATTTTTATCGCCTTGGCATTGTTTCTTTGATTACATACTTTGAGAAATTTACAATTTTTTTCGGGTGTCGGCTAGCGTTCCAGTCCCCGTCCCCGTCTATCTAGTCCCTTCATTGGTTCACCTGGAGAGTACTTGAGATGTCGAGCAATGAATTAGTAGTCATGGCGTCGTTCTCGCATACTTTGACTTAAAGTATTTCCTTTGTATACTGAATATTTCCCACGGTCGGGAACTTGATGACCTAGTATAAGCTGGAAGGGACGGCTCTCATGGTGTGTATCCATGGTTGCCCTACTATGGTGTTGTACGTTGTGTCTTGGTCCATGATGTGGAATGTGGTTTCCAGAGTGACGCCACCGGCCAGAACATGGAGGGTGATTTCACCAGATGTCCGTTCGACTGCATTGTTAAAACCAGTTAACGTAATGCAAAGCGGCACTATCTTATCTTTGAGTTTCATTTGCGCAAGTACTCGAGGATGGATAATGTCACTCCCCTTTTTTTCTCTCGAAAGCGGGTTTCTATGTGTGACAACTCTTTTAAATGAGGTATTAAAAGAGAAGAGTCGCCACCTAACGATTTTAAGGTGTGTTAGGGAACCTATTTGCAAATAACTCTGTTTTAACAAGTCCGTGTCACCAAAGATTGTGTAAGGGCTCAAATTACCTCAAAAACAAGGTTTTAGGTACTCTTCGAGGTCCACAATTGTGGGTCCCGGCCGAATTTTATACTATGTGGATTATATAATTAAGCTAGGTGTAGCAACCCCTTTGGGAGGGTACTACTTACGAAACAAATCTAATTTACTACTTACAACATTAAGAAGACATTAATTAAAAAAAATATTCAGAATAGTTTAATAGTGGAAATAGGCCCATGCGATGAGGTCCAAAGTGCAATATTTTTTTTTTAAAAATACTCTTCATAATTTAATTTAATTTTTAAAAATAAAATACAATGTCAAAATATCAAAATAAGGTGATATAACCCTTCTTGAATAATCAACATCACTGCAAGTTTGTATTGTACATAAATTTTAAATTATCAGGTATAAAAAGGAAAACTAGTATTCTCCTTTGTACATATATATAAGACAAAGTGTAAATTCAACATATTACAAGACTTGAGTTATTAACACACCTTAAAACGGCAAAATAAGTTACCAAATTCAAGTTACAAGATTTTGGTCTTAATATCCAAGCCTCCAAATAACATACATAAGTGTGACATATATATCATGTACAAGTCCCAAAACTATATAAAACCATGGTGCATATGCAAATGTGATCTCCATAAGTGCTCCCAAAAAGACTATTTCATAAGGCCGTCTTCAAATTTCATCTCGTAGATTACCTACGATAGAAAACAACTATCGCTAAGCATAAATCTAAGTGGCGTATAAATTTTGGGCTTGGAGCCATTAACTTTTCCAATTCTCATTTTCAGTCATAGGTAGCTCAAATGAAACATAATTTAAAACAAGTGAACAAATATATCAAAAGTATCAAATATCAACCCTTGAAGTGTTTCCAAATATCTATAATAATGTTCAAGATTCAAGAGTTGAGAAAGCGTATACTATCAATCCAAGAAAGCTTGTCAAATATCCATTTTTTGCCCAATATGTACGTGATGCCATCACACTAAGCAAAATCAGATATCAAGATGGATCGAAGCCCAAAATCAAGTAGGGTCAAATCCCAACAGTCAAGAAAATCAAGAACCATATTAAAAATGGCTTCCTAGTTCGTACTTAACACGGGCAAGTTCCATAATTTAAGATGAACTACAAATTCAAAGTCAAGATGGCAAAAGATCCAAATCAATAGGCATGCCACGATGAGTGACAAACACACTGCCACAAGAAGGACAAAGTCCCAACAAGAATGCAAAATGATCAAACAATCCGTACGAGTGGGTGATTTAGCAAATATCTTGCAATACTTGATATAACACGAATACAATGCTCTTAATTGAAGTGAAGAAAAACAAAATATCAGGTTATTTCAAAATATTCTAGCAAGTAAAAAGAGTACAAAGTTTATACACAAACCTTGGTGTTTTACCACAAAATAGTCCAACCACAACTTGAGTACGTTCAAATCGTCTACGCCCTAGACAAACCAAATCCGTCCACTTCCTCAAAAACTTCCCTTAGCTTTTACAAGGATATATATACCTCAAATACATAATAAAATATCTATATAAGATCGGTGATATAACATGTCAAACTTAACATGATATTGGTGAAAATTACCCAAAATGTTTGAAACAGAAATTCTGGACAGTATCACTGTCTCGTGTTGTGACTCAGATTTGAAGATGAAAAAGGATAAACTAGACTGTGTGGTATCTTTATAGTTGTAGATATGTGTCTTAGCGTTTCAGAATATCTTGAATCACCCCCATATCAAATTTTTTCAAAAAGTTATGCTAAACTTACTAACAGTAGTACATGGAGGGTTTGTAAAATAGAAAATCTGGGCAGCACCTGCCCTTTACTTTATCACCTATTTTCGGGTAAATAAAAGACAAAACAGGTTTTGGTTCCTTCATAAGAGTTATAGATCTATGAAATAGATTTCCATAAAGTCTTAGATCACTTAAAACAGAGCTCTATACGAAAATATATGAAGAAAACACTAATAGCTACCTAGTGTAAAATAGGGTTTAGTAACTTACCACAAAAGAGAGGAGCAACTTGAGCTTCACCAAGAACGAATTTTGCTGGTTGGTTTAGTGGAAATTTATGGTTGTTTTCATGAAGTTTTCAGGTAAATATTTAACAGTAATTCATAAAAATAATATTAAGTGTTACACATAGCAACACCATGGAACTTCTTTGTCAATATTAACACAACCTAGAGTAAGGAATTTTCATGTATTGTCAATTTCACGTTTAGGAAGTGCGAAGTAAAAATATCTCCTCATTATAAAGATTCTCAATCGAAAATGCAAATATTAGTAAAAATTTGGGGTGTTACAACTCTCTCCCCCTTAAATAAATTTCGTCCCGAAATTTACCTGGTACTAGTCCCTAAACAAATGTGGATATTGAACTCGCATATCCTCTTCTCGCTCCCAGGTAGCTTCTTCGCCAGAATAAATTTTCCAAAGAACTTTCACTAAGGGGATGATCTTATTTCTAAGCTCCTTTAACTCACGCGCTAAGATTTGGAATGTTTCTTCTCCATATGTCAAATCAGGATTGACCTCAATAGATTCAATAGGAAGAACATGAGATGGATCTGAGCGGTATCTTCTAAGCATAGAAACATGGAAGACGTTATGGATCTTGTCTAACTCTGGTGGAAGAGCTAGTTTATAAGCAGCTGGGCTAACTCTCTCAAGCACTTCATAAGGTCCAATAAATCGTGGACTAAGTTTACCTTTTTGGCCAAATCTCATAATCTTCTTTCATGGAGAAACCTTTAAAAATACCTTATCACTCGCTTTATACTCAATTTCACGCCTCTTAAGATCAGCATAAGACTTTTGTCTGTCTGAGGCAATTTTTAAGCGATCTTTGATGATTTTTACCTTATCTTCAGTTTGTTGAACAATCTCAGGACCCACCAATTTTTTTTCACCAACCTCGTTCCAACAAAGAGGCGTTCTGCATTTTCTCCCATACAAAGCTTCATAAGGAGGCATGTCTATACTTGATTGGTAGCTATTATTGTAAGCAAATTCTATCAAGGCTAAGTGTTTGTCCCAACTACCCTCAAACTCAATAATGCAGGCTCGAAGCATATCCTCCAAGATTTGTATTACCCTCTCAGACTGGTCGTCTGTTTGTGGATGGAAAGTGGTACTAAAATTCAACCTAGAACCCAAATCTTCTTGCAATCTAGATCAAAATCTGGATGTAAACCTTGGATCTCTATCAGACACAATAGAAACAAGGATTCCATGCAGCCTCACAATCTCATTAATGTATAATTCTGCCAAATGTTCCAGTGAGTAGTCCATTATGATTGCCAAGAAATGAGCACTCTTAGTTAGTCTATCTACAATGACCCAAATTGCATCATGATTCCTTTCGAGTGTGTGGAAGTCTAGAAACAAAGTCCATCGTTATCCTTTCCCGTTTCCACTCAGGTATTGTGTGATGATCCAAAATGTCATTTTTAAAGTTAATAATTATTTTTGTATTCTAAGACCTCGAAAAGCACTATTTATCATTACTCGCCTTGCGTGCACAGTCCGTAAAAATTTCCAAAAAGTTTTAATGTGAAAAATAGATTAAAATGTGAATTTGAGATTTAAGACTCAACTAAGTTGACTTTGGTCAACATTTTGAGAAAATGGACTCGGATCAGTATTTTGACAGTTTCGGTAGGTCCGTATCGTAATTTGGGACTTGGGCGTATGCCCGGAATCAAATTTTGAGGTCCCTAGCCCGAGTTATGGAATATTGATGAAAAATTAAAAGTTTTAGTTCAAATAATGACCGGATGTTGAATTATGTGCAAACGACCTCGGAATAGAATTTTGATGATTCCAACAGCTCCGTATGATGATTTTGGACTTAGAAGCATGATCGAAATTTTATTTGGAAGTCCGTTGTGAAATTAGGCTTGAAATAGCTAAAATAGGAATTTAAAGTTTGAAAGTTTGACCGGGGAGTTGACTTTTCTATATCGGGGTTGGAATCCAGTTCCAAAAATTTTCATAGCTCCGCTATGCCATTTATGACTGGTGTGAAAATTTGAGGTAAATCGGACTTGATTTGATAAGTTTCGATATCAAATGTAAAAGTTGGAAATTCTTAAGTTTCATTAAGCTTGAATTGGGGTGTGATTTGTGATTTTAGCGTTGTTTGATGTGATTTGAGGTTTCAAATAAGTTCGTATAATGTTTTAGGACTTGTTGGTGTATTTGGTTGAGGTCCTGAGGGCCTCGGGTGAGTTTCGGTTGGTTAACAGATCAAAAGATGGACTTAAACAGCTGCTGTAAAAAGCTGCTACAAATTTTCTTCTGCCGAGCAATCGAGCCCAGAAGTCGATCCCAAAAATCGAAGGCCAGAAATCGAGCCGAGAATCAAAGGCAAGGCTCGAGAGCCATAATCGAAGGCAGGCTCGAGGCCATGATCGAAGGCCCGGGCTTGATGCCAAGATCGATGCCATGACCGAAGGCCCAGGCTCGATGCCATGACCGAAGGCCCAGGCTTGAGCCTATGATCGAAGCCACGATCGATGACCTGGCTCGAGGGCCATAATCGAAGCCACGATCGAGGCCCAGTTCCGAAGGCTGCCTGGGCAGATTTATAAAAGAGGGCATTCATCCCATTCGTCATTTTTAACAAACTGGAGCTTGAGTAGAGGCGATGTTTGATAGATTTTCAAGGAAAGACATTGGGGTAAGTAATTCTAACTCGGATTTGGTCAATATATATGAATATATCATTGTTTTCACCATTTAATTAGTGTATTGAGATGGAAATTTGGAAAATTTTTAGAAATCTCATAAAAATATATTTTTGAGATTTCTGTGTCGATTCGGAGTCAGATTTGAGTGAAACTGGTATGGTTGGACTCGTAATTGAATGGGTTATCGGATTTTGTAAGTTTCGCCAAATTCCGAGACTTGGGCCCCACAGGCAATTTTTGAACTAATTTCGGATTTTATTGAAAAATATATTATTTTCTTATGAAATTGATTCCTATAATTTTATTTGACTGTATCGAATTAATTATGACTAGATACGAGTCGATCAGAGTCAAAAAATCGAGAAAGAGGCATACTACTTGGTTAAATTGGAGCAAGTCGAGGTAAGTGACTTGTCTAACCTTGTGTGGGGGCAATTTTCCCTACGATTGGTATTGAAGTGATAAATTGTAATGTGTTGAAAGTCATGTACACGAGGTGACGAGTGTGTACACGGGCTAAATGTGAAAGATTATATTTTTAAATTGTGTAGATCACTGTTGCGCATTAATTAAACTATTTTATTCTCATATATTCTTCATCATTGATTTAATGTTTATATGTTAAAGTTGCTTGACCTTTTCCTGCTAATTGTTTTACTTGTTTAGTTGAAACTTGGTTTCTTTTATCCTGTGCATTATTTGAAGTTGATTTTCTTTAAATTAAATATTATTAATATGAAGTATTTGACATTTTTAAATTTGGTATTGAAGCAACGTATTAAAGATTTTGAAATATTATTTTGCTGAATTATTTATTCTTGAATATTTTTGTAAGATTTTCATACTCACTGTGATTGAGCCATGAGCTCTTTATTGTGGAAAAATATTATTGATGATTTATGTTGGCATGAGCCGTGAGCTCTTTATTGTGGAAAAATATTATTGTTGAAGTATTTTGTCAAGTTAAATTATTTGAGCACTTGAGGTGCAAATTGTGATATATTGTGATGTTGATACGCATGCGGTGATATAAGGTCTGGGTATTGAAACACATGCGGTGAGATAAGGGTGGCTTGATACACGTGACTAGTAGGGGGGAACTACTAGAAGTCATGCGGTGTGATAAGGATGGCTAAAACGCGGGAAGCTATTTCGGGAAAAATATTTTCTTTAAAATAAATTGTGAAGGCTCCAGCGGTGAGATAAGGAAATGAGATATTAAGAATTTATTTATGATTTGGTACTACGAGGGGGTACCTCGTGAGTGCCCTTGTTGATATTGATTTATTGCCATAGTTGCCTTTGATTATTTGTTGTGATTTTCTTAAAGTTGAAAGAAATTCTGTTTTGATTCCACGAGATATTATTTGACATTATTTTGTGTAATTAAATGGTGACATACTACTTGATTCATTTCCATTGTCAATTTATTTTATTATATTGTTAAACATTTTACCATGCAATTATTATTTTTCAGTAGGGCCTGACCTGACCTCGTCACTACTCTACCGAGGTTAGGCTTGGCACTTACTGGGTACCGCTGTGGTGTACTCATACTACACTTCTTCACATCTTTTTGTGCAGATCCAGGTACTCCTTACCAGCCCCGACATCAGTGAGTTACCTGTACACGGAGACTTCGAGGTATATCTGCCAGCGTCCGCAGACTCCGGAGTCCCCTTCTATCATTATTGTGTTGCTTCCTTATTTTCTTTAGACCTTGATATATGTATATATAGACATTGAGGATAAATTCTTACAAGCTTGTGACTTATTTCAACCGGATTTTGGGAGTTGAAATCGTTTGAATTGTAGTTTATTTATTTCAGATTTAAATATTTATTCTGCATTGATAGGTTTACCTAGTCTTAGAGACTGGTTGTCGCCATATCACGCTATTCTTGATTGTTACGCCAAAACAGTGACGTTGGCTATGCCAGGTCTACCGCGGCTAGAGTGGAGAGGTACCTCGGATCATGTTCCTAGAAGGGTTGTTTCATTTCTTGAAGCTCAACGAATGGTTGAGAAGGGGTGTGATACGTATCTGGCCTATGTGAGAGATGTTAGTGTTGATACTCATACCGTGGAGTCAGTTCCTGTAGTAAGAGATTTTCCTGATGTATTTCTAGCAGATCTTCCGGGTATGCCACCCAATAGAGATATTGACTTTGGCATTGATTTATTACCGGGTACTCAGCCCATTTCTATTCCACCATATCGCATGGCCCCAACAGAGTTGAAAGAATTAAAAGAACAGTTACAGGAATTACTTGATAAAGGCTTCATTCGGCCCAGTGTATCGTGATCGAGGCCAAACCTACACCACTATAGAGTAGCGAGGATGGTCGATGTAGTTTTACCCAACGAGGTCGGGATCGATTTCCACTGGGAGTTAATTTGGCTTGGAGTTGGGTATATAACTAATCTAGATGTGCGTGTTATTCCTAATTGCACTTCCAAACATTATTGCGATTGATTCTATTCTAATTTTATACTATTGTATGCTGAGTGTAAGCTAAGTACAATATTTTTGGTGAAAGTTTTCAAGTGTTAAAAGGCACTAGGGAAGTGACTTCCGCCTAGGTGAGTATCTAATGGGTATCAAGAATCTAGGATAAGCTTGTTAGGATTGGGGTCGTGATACAACCATCACACATAAGTGCTCACTCTATACCTCTCGGTAGTTTGAGTGACTTTGCCCGATTTAGCTTTCTCAAGCCCAAATGGGTGTTCATACAATACAAGTGAAATTGGCTCAAGTTGGTATTACTATCTCTAGGTTTAACCCTTTAATTGGGGCTATCAATATCTTGAGTTCACCCCAATTCCTTGTTAGCCTAATTTTCCTAGACTTAGTCCCTCTTTATCAAGAAGAGCTTAAGTCATAAAGGCATGAGTCAGTGTTTCCAACCACTAAATCTACAATTTTAGCATGAATTAGGCTAAATATCACTAACCCATAAATAATTAAGCCCTAAAATTCAAGACCCATTAAATACCCACACTAGGGTTGGGTTACAACCCTAGATATGGGGTCTAGCTACTCATAATAACAGCAGAAATCAAAGATAAAGATGAAATATAAGCCATAATATTAAAGTACAAGATGAAAATCTAAAGTTTGAAGGTAAATCTACTCTAAAATTGCCAAAAAAGGGAAACACCAACCGTTCACGTGCTCTGCTAAAAAATACTTAACCTAAAATTGATAAAAGGATCTATTTATACTAGGCTGAAAATTTCGGACAAAAATACCCCTGCGGAGGTTTCACGGACGCGTAA